TTGCACGGTCATGCAATGCTGCATCCAAACGAAAAATTACATCCTTTTTTCACACAAATATAGCTTTCTTTCGGTGGTATTTGATCACCTGTGCACTTTTTATTTTTCATGCTATAAACAAAAAAATACTGAAACTTTTTAAGAAAAACAATATTTTTTACTTTCAGCTATAAAAAAATATATAGTAAACTCAAAGTTAGATATAAATTTAGGCCAAAATGTATTCTGCTACATGTTTTTGGTAAAAAAAATCCCGATAAGTCTATATTGATTGCTTTATGTGAAAGATACAGCGTCTACAAACTATGGTATAGATACTGCAATTTACACCATTTTTTTGCTATACAGCGCTGCGCTAGTTTAATGGACAATTGCGTGGTCATGCAATACGGTACAAAAATCAAAATTTATGTCCTTTTTTTCACAGAAATAGAGCTTTCTTTTGGTGGTATTTGCTCACCTGTGTGCTTTTTATTTTTGGCGATATAAAAATAAAATTTAAGAAAAAAAAGTTTTTTGAAAAAAAAAACAATATTTTCACATTTGGGTTATAAAAAATATCCAAAAAACTAAAATGTTGTCATAAATTTAGGCTAAAATGTATTTTGCTACATGTTTTTGGTTAAAAAAAATCCCAGTAAGTGTATATTTATTGCTTTGTGTGAAAGTTATAGTGTCTACAAACTATGGTATAGATAATGGAATTTACACAGCTTTTACTTTCTGACTGCCCATCACATTTCTTGAGGTGCTAAAATACCAAGACAGTACAAACACCCTCAAATGACCCCTTTTCGGAAAGCAGACACCCTAAGCTATCTGCTGAAAGGCATATTGAGTCCATGGAAGATTTTTTTTTTTTCCACAAGTTTCTGGAAAATGACAAATACATTTTTTTTTTTTTTTACACAAAGTTGTCATTTAAATGATTTATTTCTTACACAAGCCATGGGTATATGTGGAATTGCACCCCAAAACATATTCTGCTGCTGCTTCTACTGAGTATGGGGATACCACGTGTGAGACTTCTTGGGAGCCTAGCCACATACAGCAGCCTGAAATCCAATTACCACTTTGAAAGGCTGAAGGTGCGTAACTTCCTCATTACACTTCCTCACTACCTATCACAGTTTTGAAGGCCCTGAAATGCCAGGATAGCACCCAAACCCCCCCCCCCCCCTCCAAATGACCCCTTTCTGGAAAGTAGACACCCCAAGGAAATTAAAAAGAACCATGGTGAGTATTTTGCAGATCTCATTTTTTCTCACAAGTTTTTGAAATATAAAAAAAGAATAGAAAAAATATGTTTTTGTTTTTTTTCTTCATTTTCCAAAAACTTGTGGCAAGTAAGCAAGTAAGTATAGCCTGTTGTCCTCTCACAGGTCTTCTACATCTTGACCCCATATCTGGCACGCTTGCAGGGGAGAAATTGTTTGAATGCAAGGCGGCCAGACAAATTAATGAGGGACTCATCAACACAGATGTTTTGCTGGGGAGTATAGACATCTGCAAATTTTTGGTTAAGGTGATTTGGGAGGGGCTGAATTTTGAGGAGCCGGTCAAATTCAGGATTACCCCGAGGATGACAGAGTGTCGTTGAAATGCATAAAACACATTATACTCTCATATCTTTGCCTGGCCATGGCAGCAGAGAACACATATGATGAATCGGGTCTGCGGACCAATACAATCACAAATAATTTTTTTTTGGTAATGCCCAAGTTGAGGGTTAGGCCCCCCAAAAAAATGTAAATTCGAAAACAGCAATGAGTTTCCATGCAACTGGTCTGGCAAGGTTTGAATTTGGGTTGGCGGCAAAAAATTGTGCATATAAATTGCTTTGATCCACAATCAACGCATACAGATATTCTGCAAAAAGCAGCTCCAAAAATCAATAGGAGTAGTTAAATTTGCTATTTCCACCCGAATTCCGGGTTGGGCAGTGAATGGGGGAAGTATGGGTGCTGCAGAATTTGTGGGCTGTCAATCGGGATTTGCAAGCACATCTGGAAGGATACTAGGAGCTTTACGGGCCTGTGTGTGAATTTATTTGTGGTTGCGGGACAATACTTGTGCTCGCCACCGCACCAGCTTGTACTGCACTTATGGGACTCAACACATCCCCAAGTCATACTGCAGTGCTGGTATTATTATTATACAGGATTTATGGCGCCAACAGTTTGCTCAGCGCTACAATATAACTGGAGACAATATAGAACAATACAGTTCAATACAAGAGGGTTAAGAGGGCCTGATCCTGGGAGCTTACAATCTAAGAGATATTTGAAAGACAAGGATGTACTAGGCCACTCGTACTCGCCAGTTCACCAAAAGGTAGCGTGGCACTAGTACTGGCACTCTGCTGCATATGAGAGTCATCAAAATTTACTGACAAGTGCTAAAAGAGATCAGGCCTGATTCGAACACTGCGGTTTTGTGTGTAATATATAAAGTGACAGTGACCTACTGACACTGCACTTGCTGGGGGAGAAAGGGGGGGGGGGGTAAGCGTAGGGGCTAAACGCAGGTGCTGGCAGGTGCTGGGGCTGATCCTGTTAATGCTGTATTTTTGGGGACACTATACTAATGTGAACGCTGGTATAGTGCTGATCTGATCAAACATATTGATCAGACACTATACTAGTAATGGAGGTTTATTTGTGCATGAGCGTGTTCCTGGCAATCAAGGGGTTAAATGTGATGACTGGTGTACTGAGGGGCAATCTGAAGCTATCTGGGAGGGGTGTGAAAACCACGGGAGCACGACTCATGTGTATATATATATACAGTCATGGCCGAAATTGTTGGCACCCTTGATATTTTTCCTGAAAATCAAGTATTTCACACAAAAAAGGTATTGCATTAACACATGTTTTGCTATACACATGTTTATTCCCTTTGTATGTATTGGAACAAATATATAAAACAGAGGCAGAAAAGCAAATATGACATAATGTCACACAAAACCCCAAAAATGGGCTGGACAAAAGTATTGGCACCCTTAACTTAATATTTTGTTGCACACCCTTTGGAAAACATAACTGAAATCAGTCGCTTCCTATAACCATCAATAAGCTTCTGACACCTCTCACCGGAATTTTGGACCACTCTTCCTTTGCAAACAGCTCCAGGTCTCTCTTATTGGAAGGACACCTTTTCCCAACAGCAATTTTAAGATCTCTCCACAGGTGTTCAATGGGATTTAGATCTGGGCTCATTGCTGGCCACTTCAGAACTCTCCAGCGCTTCTTTGCCATCCATTTCTGAGTGCTTTTTGACGTATGTTTGGGGTCATTGTCCTGCTGGAAGACCCAGGATCTTGGACGCAAACCCAGCTTTCTGACACTGGGCCCTACAGTGCGACCCAAAATCCTTTGGTAATCCTCAGATTTCATGATGCCTTGCACACACAGTCAAGGCACCCAGTGCCAGAGGCAGCAAAACAACCCCAAAACATCATTGAACCTCCACCATATTTTACCGTAGGTACTGTGTTTTGTTCTTTGTAGGCCTCATTCCGTTTTCGGTAAACAGTAGAATGATGTGCTTTACCGAAAAGCTCTATCTTTGGTCTCATCTGTCCACAAGACGTTTTTCCCAGAAGGCTTTTGGCTTACTCAAGTACATTTTGGCAAACTGTAGTCTTGCTTTTTTATGTCTCTGTGTCAGCAGTGGGGTCCTCCTGGGTCTCCTGCCATAGCGTTTCATTTCATTTAAATGTCGACGGATAGTTCGCGCTGACACTGATGCTCCCTGAGCCTGCAGGACAGCTTGAAATGTCTTTGGAACATGTTTGGGGCTGCTTATCCACCATCCGGACTATTCTGCGTTGCAATCTTTCATCAATTTTCCTCATCCGTCCACGACCAGGGAGATTAGCTACAGTGCCATGGGTTGCAAACTTCTTGATAATGTTGCGCACTGTGGACAAAGGCAAATCTAGTTCTCTGGAGATGGACTTGTAACCTTGAGATTGTTGATATTTTGCCACAATTTTGGTTCTCAGTCCTCAGACAGTTCTCGTCTCCTCTTTCTGTTGTCCATGCTTAGTGTGGCACAGACAGACACACAATGCAAAGGTTAAGTGAACGTCTCTCCTTTTTATCTGCTTTCAGGTGTGATTTCTATATTGCCCACACCTGTTACTTGCCCCAGGTGAGTTTACAGGAGCATCACATGCTTGTAACATTCTTATTTATCCGCAGTTGTGAAAGGGTGCCAATACTTTTGTCCAGCCCATTTTTTGGAGGTTTGTGTGACATTATGTCGAATTTGCTTTCTTTCCTCCCTTTTTTTTGTTTTGTCCCAATACACACAAAGGGAATAAACATGTGTATAGCAAAACATGTGTTAATGCAATACGTTTCGTGAGAATTACATGATTTCCTGGAGAAATATCAAGGGTGCCAACAATTTCGGCCATGACTGTATATATTATATATATATGTGATTTTGTGCACCCCTGCCGCAGTATAAACACTGTGGCTGGACAGCAAGCAGTTAAACTGCATCATGCTGCCATTTTGATTTTACTATTTAAAATTGTGACAATTATACTTTTTGGTGAGCAACGATGACTAGAAAAAAAGGAAAGCTGGAATTAAATCTGAGGGCACATCCTATCTTTTTTTTTAGCTCACACCACTTCAGAGCAATAGTGTGAACTGAGCGCATAGGGCTCAAAAGGAGAAAAACGTTCTTGTCTATGCATTTGTACTCCAAGTGCAAATGCACTGACAGTGCAGTTGCTCTAGATTTGAGAGGAACATGCAAAGAAAATAAAAAAAACAGCATTTTTTCTTGCACATGATTGGATGAAAGAAATAAGCATAGTTTCACCTCGGATATATAGCAACTGCACTTGCAGTGCACAGTATATTTACCTTTTGTAAATCAACCCCAATGTGTAAGAGCCCCTTAACTGCTTCCCCTCCGCCCTATAGCAGAAATACTGCTACAGGGCGGCAGGGGTACGCAAAATCACATATATATATATACAAGATTTTGCATTTCGGGGTAGGGGTGCGCCCTACCCGTGCAGCTATTCGCAGCCTTGACTGTCAATAACTGGGTCCCAACCGGTGATTACTCACTAGCACCCGGTGATCACCGAGTATCTCCGACAGGGGAGAGACCTGTTATAAACAACACAGGTCTCTCCTCTGTCAGCTCCTGCACACTGCTTTGTATGGCTCTGCATAGCAGAGCATACAAAGCAGTGTGCTTACTGAAGCACACACAAAGCCTACGTAGTAAAACAGCACACTGCACACAATAAAAAAGCACACAGTTAACCCTTGATCACCCCACATGTTAACCCCATCCTGCACAGTGCCATTAGTACAGTGTCAGTGCTTTTTATTAGCACTGATCACTGTATTGGTGCTACTGGGGATGTCAGTGAAAATCAAATCAGTTCCCCCCAGTGCCAGAATGCCCGCCGCAGTCCCACTATAAGTCGCTGATCCCCGCCATTACTAGTACAAAAAAAAAAATTCCAGTATCTATAAAACTATTTGTAAACGCTATAGCTTTCACGTAAACCAATTAATTTACACATATTGTGATTTTTTTTTAGCAAAGACGTAACAGAGTAAATTTTGGCCTAAATTTATAACGAAATTAGTTTTTTTACAGTTTTTTTACTTTATATGTTTAATAGCAAAAAGTCAAAAATATAGTTTTTTTCTCAGAATTGGCAGTCTGTTTTTAATTATAGCACAAAAAAAAAAAAAACGAATGGGCGATCAAATACCACCGAAAGAAAGCTCTATTTTTGGGAAGAAAAAAGGACATACATTTAATTTGGGTGCAGCGTTGCATGACTGCGCAATTGTCAGTTGAAGTAACGCAGCACCGTAGTGCAAAAAAATAGTCTGGTCAGGAAGGGGAGTAAATCCTCTGGAGGGAAAGTGGTTAATAAGAAATTAAATGCCAGGCTAATGCTTTGGCCCCAATACCTTGAACGTTTGGTCTGGAACAAATACAGATATCAGAATTGCAACTTCAGACTTCCATGTCCTGGATGCATATGTTCAGGATAAGTCATTTAGCCATCTTTACAGACACTCAGGCAACTAGCAGAAGGCCCACACTGGTAAACCGCATATTTTTTCTTTTGACAAGTGTACTTTAAAAATGTATTAAAACCAATTTTGGAGGCAGGAGGAACCACTGGGCACTGCAGAAGACACAGATAACTGACATTCCTGGAAGTTTCTCTGGATTTCACATGAATATTCCTTTTGATTAGAATTGTGTTCATCAGCACAGACCTAACAGAGTTGCTTTAAACTGAATAAATGAAATCAATACAACTTCACATTATTCACTAGTTCACTATTACAATGTGTATTTTCACTTATCTTAGTGAATGAAGGGAAGTTGTGCTGACTTCAATTCTCCGATCATGTGCAAGCAAAACTCCAGTTTTTAAATTTTTCTTGGACATATTGGGTTTTTATGGAAAGAGAACATGGTTAATGGAAGGAAAGGAAACAGAGATCATACTATAATGATGCACACTTTGCCTTGAGAAATTACAGATTTTTTTATTTAAAACCCCTTTAATCAAATACAATCTATATAGATATACATGTCAAAGGAGAGTTATTGAAGAACTGACAATCAACTGTCTGTCAAGATCCCTTTGTGCAGTAACACGGAGGTTTTATATCTCTTTTGCAAAGTTCCTGGATTTACTTGGGACAGAAACCTACAACTGGTGGTTTCATTTGCAGACAAACCTGCCTATTACATCATTTATCAATGCAGGCCCATAAAGTACAAACATTCTGTTTTGGAAGCACTGTATATGACTGGCCAGGCTCAGCTTCACCCAAGGGTAAGTAAGAGAGAGACAGGGGTCACACTGTTGTTACCCAATGACTGTAGAAAAATTAGAACCCTTCTCATGATCTTACATGGAGAGTCAATACCAAACAGCGGGTCAATTTTACTTGGATATCACTTTTAGTGTTTGTTCATCAACTACCTTTGCTAAAATGCAATGCAATAATTCTTGTCTAGAGTGAAAGGAAAATACAACAAGACTGCATGGTGTAATCAGAAGATGTTTGCTGTGAAACTTGCAGAGAACCAAAACAGCACCAGCAATCAGACTCAAACGAATTTTGTGCTGACTCTCTTCATCAGCTCAGTAAGACACACATTATCCAAACACAGCTGGGATGAATAGAGCAAACCACATGGGAAGAGGAGATAATTTTCCAAATTCTGTGTACCGGTGAAGCATGTTTAACATTCAGATGTGCAAAGCGGCTCTGAGTGGACAGGGATGTGGAAATGTTCACCTCATCAGGGCTAAGCCTTGAGTGGGATAAGAGTTTTCATAGGGATTTAAAGGCCGGTGTGCAAGAGGAGTTTTTCTATTTAGACAAAATTTACAAGAACGTTCAAATCTTAATGGTGTGGTGTACCACCAGCGCACCACTAATACAAAACACAAATATCCCTGGATTCTTTCATCTTTCATATGCCGAGAGATTACTGACAGTCTGCCGGTACATCTGTAACAAATGCCAAGTACAACTTTTCCGTAATCATCGTGAAGCACTCCCCTGTCTTCTCAGTTTAAGTGTATAAAGTTCAGTGAAAATCCATATTCAACCCACAGTGAGCCCTTAATTATGAGCTTTTATAGTCAGCAGGAAAAAAGAGCACCTCATATCCCAGTAATGCATCCCTTTGCCATAGGAAGGTTAGATTCCCAAGGAGTTTACCTAGTAGGATAATGAAGCATAAAATACCCATAACATTCTTGAACCTGAACTATTAAGTAGAGAACTGAAGGCATGGAGATGTGGAGGCTTCGCCCTAGTCCTGAACTTTCATGGAGTTCCCCCTCTCATTTTGTCCATTTAGATCCACATACATGCAGATAATGAAGCATAAAATACCCATAACATTCTTGAACCTGAACTATTAAGTAGAGAACTGAAGGCATAGAGATGTGGAGGCTTCACCCTAGTTCCTGAACTTGCATGGAGTTCCCCCTCTCATTTTGTCCATTTAGATCCACATGCATGCAGCATCGTTTAGTAACCCTGCTGCGCCCGAATGCTAGGCATTCTAATAGACATAGAGGTGTACAACAGTTTTTTAGTACCCTCTGCTTTGCCTGAATGCTGGGCATTCTCACAGATAGACATGTGTGATTTGTTTTGTTATGAACCAAAATTTGGGCGAAATCTTCATTTTTCAAAGATTTGGATGTATCCAAATTTCCAAATGACAATACTAATAATTTAAACGAATCCAAAATAGATTATAACAAAACAAATTATGTTTCCATTTCAAAATGAATTTGAAATGGAAACATATTGCAATAAATACAGAAAGGTATAAAAGTGAAATAAGATGATGATTCCTACTTAGGCTGCTTTATAGGATAGGATAGAATATAAAAGAAAAAAATAGAATAGAATATAAAAGAGTAGAATAGACTAAAACAGAAAAAATAGAAATGAATAGAATACAATAGAAGAAAAACAGAATAGAATATAAAAGAGTAGAATAGAATGAAACAGCATATAAATGAATAGAATACAACAGAAAAAAAAAACAGAATAGAATAGATTATAAAAGAACAGAATAGAAAATAAAGAAATATAACAGAATATGAAATAGAATAGGAAAAAAAATGGAAAAGAATAGAATAGAAAAAAATAAAATGGAATAGAATAGAATAAAAGAGTACGAATACAGCCGTTTTCTGAAATTCGAATTTTGAGTTTCAAAATTCAAATTTGAAATGATTTGTAATGGTGAATATTCCAAATAAATCCTAATATACGAAACATATTCTAAAAATTGATCATTCTAACATATTGAATATGACGAAACAAACTATTAGAAAAATGTTTTGTTTTGGATTATTTTGTTGTCATGCACATCTTTACTCACAGGCATAGAAGTGTCAAGCCTTTGTCCTAGTTCCTGACTTTGCATGGGTTTCCCTTAAAGAGACCCTATCACTTTGCCTGTTTAGGTGCACATACAGCAACTTTTCATATCAGATGGTATGAAAGCGATGGAAGTGACGTCATGATGTCACTTACTGCTCTTTTTTTTGCCATTTTTTATCTCATGCTGTCCAGCATAGAGGAGGGATGTGGGGTCTTATATACCCCAGATCTCTCCATAAAAAGACGGCCTGTCATGCGTTATTTCTATTACAAGGAATGTTTAAAAAAAAAATAAACAAAAAGAAAGTGTCCAAAAATAAAAATTAAATAATAATTGAAAAAACATTTTAAGCGCCCACTTGTGCTTGCATGCAGAAGCGAACGCATACGTAGGTTGCGCCTACATTTGTAAATGGCGTTCAAAACCACACATGTGAGGTATTGCCAAGATTGTTAAACATTTTTAAAGGGTCGCCTATGGAGATTTTTTTAAGTACCGTAGTTTTGCAATTTTAAAGTTTGGTATCTATTTACTCTGTGTAACATCATCTTTCATATTTTACCAAAAAAATGGGTTATATACTTTGTGTTTTTGCATTAAAATTCATTAAAGTGTATTTTTTCCCAAACAAATTGTGTGTGACAAATTGCTAGGCACATACCATGGGACATAAAAAATTAGAATGACCACCATTTTATTCTATAGAGTCTCTGTCAAAAAAAAAAAAATGTAATTATTTCAGGTACTTATATAGCGCTGTCAATTTTACATATATATTATACATTCACATCAGTCCCTAACCCTCAAGGGGTGTACAACCTAAGGTCCCTAGCTTACATTCATACATACACATACTAGGGCCAATTTAGACAGGATCCAATTCACCTATCAGCATGTCTTTGGAGTGTGGGAGGAAACCGGAGTAGCTGGAGGAAACCCACGCAGGCACAGGGAGAACATGCAAATTCCAGGCAGGAGGTGCTGTGGCTGGGATTCGAACCAACGACCCTAGTACTGGCAGGCGGAAATGCTAACCATTTAGCCACTGTGCTGCCTATATATATATATATATATATCAGGTGGACTGACCATTTGGAAACTCGGGCACCGAGGGCCTGGGGTCATCAGGGGGCCCCATGAGATGCCCCTGGTACCTTTTTCATGGGCTTTTTTGAGTTTGGGCAAGGACACGGGGGCCCCATGATCCCCTATTGCCTGGGGACCCCATGAGTTGCCAGTCCGCCCCTGATATACTATACATATATATATATATATATATATATATATATATATATATAAATGTTTCAGGTTTCTAATTTTTCTAGCAGAAGAATTATAATTTTTACATGTAGGAGAGAAATGTCAGAACTGGCCCAGTATGGAAGTGGTTAAACCGTGTATTTAGTAATTTGCCTAGAGTTCCACTTTACATGACCTTAAAAGCAGTTTTAAATTATTTGTTTCTGAAGTGAACTTAAAATACTGCCTATGGTAGCATAAATTTGGTTAAAAAAAGGAAGACATAGGTA